CGACCTATCTTAATGCTTCCCTCCTGGGAGATCATTTTTAATTTCAGACTTTAAATCTTTCTCACGAAATGACTCTGTTGAAAGAAACTCTAGATGCAGTGTCGCTTCTTGGATAATTATCTGTCTCATTTTCATACCGGCTCCTCGTCCGGAAAGGCCGAGGACTGTTTAATATAATGGTGAACGCAAGGTCACTTTAATTAAGTTGGTGGAGGAGAATAATGTTACTGCAAGCGATACCGTCCTCCCTTCTCCTCCTGCAATTTGAATTCGCAGTAAATGGGATCCGTTTGGATTTCTGTGGTCCTTGTTTTATTTTTGAGATTGTGCGACTGTTTAGGTAGGTTTTCATAGCAATATTTCCTTTCCTTTTTCAAATTTATGTATTCCTCTTACTGGAATATGTAGAATTAACAAAAAATATTCTCCTCAGCGAAGTGCTACAGGTGGTGCTCGACTTATCACCACAAAGGAGCCCTTTGTGTTAGGGCAGTAAGGGTGAACCTTTCTCCTCTCAGGTGCAGAAAGCATGCATGTGCGTTCCCATCCCCATGATTTAATTCCCCCGTCCGCACCGTGCCCATGTGTAACCCACCCAGCTGCCCCGCGCATGCGCATATGGCTTTCTTGGAACCTGGTGAGGACAAAAATGGCCTCCCCCCCACTCCCTACGGAGGCCAGAAATGGCCCGCTTTCCGACTTCCGGTGTGCTCGGTAGGTCCGTTTTTCGCCCTCCCCAGGGAAGCCTCCGGAGGGCGAAAAATGGGCAAAAATCAAGGTCGAAAATCAGCTAGCGCACTGGGGCTGACAGGGCAATGCTTCGCATGCCCTCAGAAATGGCTCCGCGTGCCACAGGTTTGCCACAGGGGTGGGTTCCAGATCCCGGTGCAACCGGTACAGTGCAATGGGGCTGGGGGTCCACTACATGAACATGCGCAGCACACTCGCAGCATGTACATGCGTACTTACCACCCGTGACACTCCGCAATGCCTCCGTAACGCTCCAGCTACTCGGCGGAGCGTCACACAGGTGCTGTACGTTCCATGCGCATAAGCCCTGAAAACCTCAAATACTAGTTAGGAGTGCGGGCAGACGGGCCCTCCGGAGCATCGTACCGGAATGGTACCTGGTACTCCCGGCAGGTACCGGTACGCCCGTATCAGGGCGTGCCAATCATAACCACCATTGGTTCTCCATCACGGTGTTAAGGGATATTTCATTGGTGTACTACACCTGAGGGAATTGGGGTTTTTTTGCCCTAACCTGCTTTTTAAGAATAGGAAAATGAAATTATTGTGACTGAGCTAAGAAGGTAATCATATGAAGTCCATTATTCATCTTGTCAGCAACTTCTACCACAGAAGTTGATCATCTTATAATGCAATTTGAGTGTTGCTAGATTTCGGAGAAAGCCTTACTATGTAGAATTTTTTTCCTTCTCTTCTTCTCCTCTAATGTTAATACTATATCTTCATTTTGGTCCATTTTTTCTCCTGGCTTCCCGGTTTTATGAAATACAGATAGGTAGTCCTTGACTTACGACCACAATTGAGCCCAAAGTTCCCATTGCTAAGCAAGACAGTTGTTAAGTGAATTCTGCCCCATTTTACAATCTTTCTTGAGGGGTGCAGTGGCCTAGAGATGGAGCTCTCACCTCACAGTCAGGAGGCTGTAAATTCGATCCCAGGTAGAGGCAGCTATTTCTCTCTCTGGGCATACTTGAGAATATATCTGCTGAAACAAAACTCCGTATTGGCAACAGGAAGGGCATCTGGCCATGAAACGCTCAGCTCTATTCAGTTGGCCAGACTCCACCCCGCAAGGGATTATGGAGGAGGAAGAAGAAGGAGAAGGCGAGGCAGAGGAGGAGGAGGAGATTATTTCTTGCCACAGTTGTTAAGTGAATCACTTCAGTTGTAAACTTAGTAACGATGATTAAGTGACTTTGCTTGTCAGGAAGTCACAAAAGGTGACTCCGGGTCACTACAACCATCATAAATGCGAGTCCGTTTCCAAGCGCCTGAATTTTGACCCCGCAGAAAGTGATCACGTGACCTGAGATGCCACAGCCCTCAGAAATAGCTGCCGGTTGCCGAGCGTCCGGATTTTGATCAGGTGACCGTGGGGATGCCGCGACGGTCGTTAAGTGTGAAAATCTGTCGTAAGTCAGTGAGTTCATCATGAGTTGGAAGGGTCACTAAATGGACTGTTGTTGTAAGTTAAGGACCACTTGTAACAACATTCAATGCCTTGGCTCTAGGTTTGGCTTCGTTTTAGGATGTACGCTTAAAGCCAGCCGTAGGAAAAAGTTGTGCAGCAGAAACACACAGACACACACAGACACGCACACAAACTGGTTTTCAGAACAATATCCTTTTGACTTTCAGCTTTCCGTCGTCTCTGATCTCTTTTGTGCTTCTAAGCCAGAAGAAATCTGCTTTTAGAGTTTGCTGAATGAAAGGGGAATAGATTTGCCATGACCCTTACAGAGGGGAAAATATAAAACTTTGGTGGTGGGGAAAACGTATGTTCCCCGCAACCCTTTAAAATAGGCCATGCTTCCTTCCGAATCTCTTTCTGTGTCATCCATCCATTCATGCATTAGGGAAGGCAAGTTTTGCTTAGTGACAGAATTGGGTGATCTTTTTTAAATTCCCTGCAGGAGCAACATTTCCCCCCCCTCTCAAATATAATGGGCTGAAAATAAAATCAAGGTACGATGGAAAGGTCATAATATACAATATCCACGGAATCGCTCCTGGCATTGCAATCCTAAAATCCTTTTGACTTAAAAAAACCCAAAAACTTACAAGATCCAATTTGGATCGGTCATCCAGATCCAGAAAGTTTGTCTTCAGAGCTTTCAGATTCGTGCTGTAGCCCATCTTCAGGGAACTGCTCTCTCGCAGAAAGTGTGCTTTGGGCTGTTCGGTTAGTGATAGTTTTATGGCGCTTGGTTGTGTGTGTGGCTTTTTAGATGTTGATTGGGGTGTTGATAGCCAGCTATTACTGTATTTTTCAGAGCATAAGTCACTCTGAAGTATAAGTATGCTTTTGGGGAGGAAAACAAGGGGAAAAACAAGGGGGGAAAATCAATTACACAGTTACTAAGATTGTCGGATCAGCAGGCACAAAAACAGCCAGGGAAATAATTGAAGCCTGGGAAACGGTCAACAGGAGTGCTGATTTACCCCCAGCTTATCAAATACTTAGGAGGCAAGGGTTTGTTAGCCGATGACTTACTGTATTTTTCAGAGTATGACACACTCTCCCCCCCCCACCCGCTAAAAGAGGGTGAAAATTTGGGTGTGTCTTATACAATGAATGTAGCCCCACCCACCCACCGGCCCCCACCCTTTGGCCTCTTCCTCCCAGCAATTTGCCTCCTTGCAGCAAATGGCAAACAGCCTGTTTCAGTTTCAGCAC